GGATAAAAAACGGGGGAGTCTCGATCCCGGAAGAATGAGAAACCGCATCATGACTTGTAAAATCATAGTAAGTAATTCAGTCATCAAGGGCAACAATGCATGGATCTGATAAACAAAAAGGTTTTCCTTATATAAACCCATGCTCTTCAGAAATAACTAGCAGAGCTATTGTCGAATCCGAATTAGCTTTAATCCCTTTGAAGGCGATGTAACTCACAACACGTGAATGTTTGAAGGCGATGTAACTCACAACACGTGAATGTTTACTCGTCCCCTCCAAAACCCACATCAAAAAAGGGGGCCGGGAAAAAGGGGGACTCACAGGGGGTCTACAGGACTCGAAAGCCTGTGGTGACGGGTTCCCTGCGGCTGCTGCGGCGGAATGGGGGCTCTGTCATATCTCCCCTCGCCCCCGGACTTCGCATGCCTTTCAGTAAGAAGATAAACCTCTAAAACCCGACAGACCCTCCTGAACTCCGTGAACAGCTCTGTTCCCCCCTTTCCCCCCCTTTCCCCCCTTTTCGTGGTCCGTCTCCCCCCTTTCCCCCCCGACCCCGTATCCCTGCCCTCCCTTCAGCTCACAACACAACGGAGCTCCTAACAACCAAGTTAAGTCAACGTAACGCCAAGCGAAAGAGATCCGCGCCGTCCGCCGCCGCCGGTGCCGCCGCCGGCGCAGTGGAAGGCACGGAGGACGGGGGAGGGGAGGAGGACAAGGAGGAAGCAACCGCTGGCGGGTCAGCGGCGGCGACGGCGGCGGTTGCTAGCCTTGCGCCGCCAAAAGGTGCCGCGGTGGAACGGCGAGAGAAAGGCGGTCGGGCTCCGCCGCCGCCGCCGCCGCCGTCGTCGGTGCAGTTGCCTCCAGGTCCCTTCCCGCCCTCGCACTACGTGGCATCATTGGACGAGCTTAAACAACATAACTACCCGTTGCCGTACTTGGAGGAGGAGGAGGAGGAGAAGGAGGGTGAAGAGGGGACGGGGGGAGAGGAACGAGGAGGGGAGGAAGAAGGTGGCGGCGGCGCGCGGAGAGGCCCGCAGAGGCGGCTTGTATGTCCTCCGGGCTTTGTGGCGACGCGACCTTCGGGTAATAAGGACCTAAACAGGATGCGGGTTCGGTGCAAAACTGCTTACGTGGCTTGTGTGGATGTCGCTGTCTTTGAAACAAATTGGAAAATCTAGCTGAGCGATGAATGGATGGATGTAGATGTACATGTAGATGTAGATGTGTGTACTACAGTGCCGTAATCCAACACCAACCAGTTGTTGCCAGTGTTTCTGTCTCTTCGTGTACGACCAGGCTGTACGAGCAAAAATGCAAGCGCTGCATCAAGGACTCTGGTCTCCCTCCCTGGACTCTGGTGATCGGGACGTAGTCCTACTTAGTAGGAAGTGGTGTTGTTGAGAAAGGAGGAAAATCGAGTCATCTAGTATGGGTCAATCCAACACAGATGGATAACGGTAGCGACCTTGAGGATGGCGAGTTGCCGGGCGAAGTCGCAGACGGCCATGAAACATTTGCGGACCCGCTGCGCAAGCAACGCAAGATTAACCACGGCGACCACGCTGGAAAACATGGTCGGCACGGAACCGATGCTGGTCACAGGCCGGCGTTGAAGCCAGAACCGTACAATCAGGCCCGGCACAGTCTCCAAAACCAAGGACGCCGTGATAATACATCAGCAGACTACAGCGCCGCGCCACTTAGAAGAGAATACCAACAACACGAGCAACACGAACATGCCCAGCAACAACCCAGTCAGTTGCCCTCAGGCAGCATCCGCCGACTTCCATGGCCGACAGGGCCGCTAGGGCGACTATGTCCCATACAGCCTGTTCACAGCCAGCTGGGGGCTGTACTTGCCAGATCTGTTTCCGGGTGACTCCTCCTACCGCCGCTTCCTGAGAAGAATATATATATATGTATATATATATAAGAATATATAGAAGAATATATATAGAAGAATATAGGATATACATAACCAAGGATAACTGAAAGAACCGCGCATGCCGCCTTGCCCGAGAGTTCAAGTTCATCTCGAGACACAAGCACGTGCACGCTTAGCTTTGTAAGAAGGGTTCACCGGCAGCTTCCTTTGCATTTCCCGCGCGAACATTGTGTCTGGTGTTTCAAGCGTCTATCTGTTGTTGCAGCAGAAATGTACGTTGTAAAAGCAAGCACGCATGTTTGTGTGAAGACCCCATGTACGGCACGGTACGGTACGGCTTCACAACCAGGCCGATGCATATGGAAAGTATGTCCTGAACGCGACCGAGGGTCGTTATGTGCAGACGGGAGCGACTGGATTCTTGGCCGTGCGCGTGAGCACTGGACGGCGCCGCAATTTTATGAATAATACAACAATAAGTATATGAAGACCCTGAATCCAGTCCGCCGAACGAAAACATTATAGCCTGCTGCTCAGGGAAAGTGAAAGGAACTGGCTCCAGTTGGCGTCTGAAGGAAGCATTAGTTCCTAACTTGCCCGATCTGCAGAGCACGGCACACAGCCAAAGAGGGAGAGCTTCGAAAAAAACGAAATTCGGGAGCTTCAAAAAACGCGTCGACATGGTTTGCAAGTTTTCGACAGCTTATATGCTGTTGTTATATGCTGTTGCTGTGTGTTACAGCACAACACCTGCTGTCACGACTTGCATTGCGGATTTAGCAGTAAGGACTGCGGACTGCGAACTGCGGATAGAGGTTAGCGGAGAGATAATAACGGACAGAAGTTAATGTACCAATACGCAGCGGCAGCAGCACCACCACCACCAACATGACTACCACCGCCATCATCACCACGTGTTTGCAGGAGCAGCATCACCAACATCACCAGCATGACCTTGGCCCTCGCTGCCCATCATCGGAATCGCAACATTGCTGCTGCTTCGACGCCCTTTTGCTTCAAAAAGGTGAACTGTAATAAAACACGCCAGCTACTTGTTAAAGATGCGGCACAACAGCAAACAGACTAACAAACCGAGAAAACCCCGCTCGCCCCCTCCGGGAGGATTAAATTACAGCGATTTTTCAGACACCCTATTTCTCCAAGATGCTTCAACGCGGTTCATCCAGGTGATGATGATGATGATAATGCTGATAATGATGAAATTTTTACATTTCCTGCTAGATCGACAGCAGGTTATGATCTATTTAAAAGGTGTGGAGATTGGATCAGCCTTAGCAGCTAGGTAAGCTCGGGGAGGCAATCCGCGGCGATATCCAACAGGCTCGACGGGACACCAGACACTGCTGCGAGCTAGGGACAGCTTTGGACCGCGGCTGGTGGATATGCCTGGTGCCGTTGCACACCTACCGCGGCCTGGTGGCACGTGTTTGATCATTATTATTATTATTAATCGCGAGCCCACAATTCCAGCAAAAGTGAAAGATCTGTCCTTACGTACGGTATTTACTTCTTCAGCTGTGGAAGGCAGTGCCCGCGGTTATGTCCGCGTTCAGGAGGTCGTCCCTGCAGAGGTAAGAGAGTGGTCGCAAACAGTTAAGGTAAAGGCACAGATAAAATTACACAGCTCTGTATGTATCTATGTGTGTATGTAAGTATGTATGAACTCGGGTGTGCCATCGCAGGGGAAGGCAATAATAATAAAGTAATAATAAAATAATAATAATAAAATATTAGTAGTAATAATAAGGGTAAGAAGAAGGAATGGAGAAACGTTAGAGAAAGGCTTTGGTGCTCGATGGTGGTGTGTATGTACGAAACAAAACAAGTCTCCAAGTACGTATAGGGCAAATATGAAGTTTTACAGTGCTAAAAGACCGGAACCGTTTCCTTACCAGAATTGACACTTGGCATCCAGCAGCAGGTCAGCCGCCTCAAACACCCGCGGTCCAGCCGTGTCTATGTTCATGACGGGGTTCGAGGTGGCGGTCCAGGGCTTCCAGCTTGGGGTGTTCTTGAGCAGGCGGGAGGTGAGGGAGCTGGTGCGCGGCGACAGGGGAGAACCAGAGGCGGCCACGGCGTTGATGATACCTGTGTACGACAAATGTACGGCAAAGGTCCGGCAGGGGTGCACGTGGCAATTTACATGTATGTATGTACATGCTTATAAATGGATAAATGTCGCGCATCAGCACTTCGCTTACCCGACAAGTACGACGCAAGCTGCGTCTCGTTAGGTGTGAAGGGACACTGGTTGAACGGATAACGGTACGGCGCTAGGAAGGTGAAGGGAATGTCCTGCACATGCATGCGCATGAAATGTAAGAATATGAGAGCTCATACCACCTCAAACGCACGAAGTGATACACTGAGAGCAGAGCCTG